TTTTTTTTTTTTTTTTTTTTTTTTTTTTGGGGACAAATGCTCCAGTCTATTCGTGGGGAGCAGCATGTGCTGGGAACCGGGCCCAGCGTCCCATATAGAGTTCGTTTGTAACTTTGTTGTTATTATGACCCTGAAAAAAAAGACCCTCCTGAAAATTTAGGGCTCTGTTAACCTCTTCTCGCTGCTGGTTATTAACTTACCGACAATTGGAAAATTTGTGACCTGTCGTGTTGCTCTCTCTCTCTCTCTGCCTGTGTGTTGGATGTCTGTTGATGTGATGCTCCTTCGCCATGGCCTTCAACAGGGCCCTGATTTTGCCACCATTGTGAACTCTGTCAATGCGAAGAAGGTGGCGGCTTAAGGACCGAGTTTTGCAGACTTAGTGAGATGAGCAGATTAGTTCCCTCCCAACGATGCAGATGCTGCAGCTGGACAGCCTTCTTGTCTCCATCTCACCCACCACCTGGCTGGGCCGCAGCTTGTACGAAGCATCCTCCTCTCGACACCCCATTCCCCCCTAATCGTCTTGTCATACCCGCGGCCCACATCTGGTTCTGGACGCCACAAGTACAAAGTTCGAACGCCTGTGGCAGTTTCCACCGTTCTTTCTGTTTGCTGGTCTCAGTAGCAGCCTGCTATTGCTATTTCGAGGTGGGTTGTTTGATCGACTTCGATCGATCGGCCATTCGTTTGAGTGTGGTGTGGCTTGGCTGGTTTGTCTTTTGCCCTGCAATCGATGCGGTGCTTGCAGATGTGGGGTGCTGATGAATGCTGTCGCCACTGTGTCTGTTAGAGATATAGCTTTCTTCTTTTTGCTTCATGGAAGCAGGCTGAGGATGTGCTGTGTCGCTGCCGATAGAGAAAATGTTATTGGGGAGGTTTGTAAGAAAAGAAGAAGATGTTTAGCTCGTGAATTCTTGGGGGAGGCGGTGTCTGCTCTTATCAGCACCATTAGCACTGGTGGCATGAATTGTCACATTCAATGAGGGGGTTGTTAGTACCTATGTGTATTTCGGAGACTGTATGAATTGATTTGATTTAATTGGCGACTTCCCCCCTTTGTGCCAATGCGATGCGATGTGAGGTGGTGAAGAATATCATGTGCAGTGACGGACTTGTTTATGTACATATATGAAATATGGAATTCTATTTCATCGCTTGTCCTTTTCTGCAACTGAAATGTTGTAGGGTGATTTGTAACATGCTGATGCTGGTATGTCTATCGGACTCTCGATGAGTGGACAGCATGGCCTCAACTTCCATGCAGCCGCTGTTGTGACTGGCTCAAAGGGCCATTTTGGTAAAAAGGTCATGGTCATGAAATTAGGTCCATATAAGAAGACTGCAAAATCTCCGTAATACTCACCTCAGAGTCACATGCCAAAAAGGGACACTCTGCAAATCTCTCTCTCTCTCTCTCTCTCTCTCTCTCTCTCTCTCTCTCTCTCTCTCTCTCTCTCTCTCTCTCTCTCTCTCTCTCTCTCTC